TTTGCTGCCTGCATCCTCTGAGGGAGTTTGCAAGGATAAATGACATAATGTTGCTAAAGACCAGATCTTTTCATGGAAGCTGCTAATTATAAGCAAAGCATCAGTGGGTAGACACTGACCCTTCTTCACCTGTGTCACAGTGCTTCTCAAATGGATGATGTCACTGCCATATGTAAAAAAAACCAACATTTTTCTGGAGATGTGAAAAGGATTAGGAGGGAGCATCAGGCCTCCAAAGGAAGCTGCAAAGGCCAGGAGATGACTGGTCTGCAGCAGAGATGGGTGAAGGGGATGAAAACAATCTTGTGTAGCAGTGGAAGCGAACCTTATCCCAACACACTGAAGACAGGAGATGGAAGCAAGAACTTTACCTGACACCATGATGCCCAACAGGACATGGAACGACTACAGAAGAGTTATTCGGAAAGCATATGTACATGTTTTTAGTTTTATGTATAATAAACTTATTTCTAATCTGATGAAAATTAGGCAGTTAGGAGGCCAAGTGTCCTTGAAGGCTACTTTATTTCTTTTAAAGGCAAATATACTTTCTGAAGTGGGGGCATTCTTTGAAGATTTTTGTTTCTTTTTGTCTGAGATAGGAATCCTTGGTCTCTCTTTCTTGTGTACTTCATACAATATTTGTAAGTTCCTCTTTAGCTTTTTCTTCCTCAATGCTGTGCATACACAGGGCTCTTGTTCCGTTTCCACTCTGAAGAGATTATTGCCAGGTAAAATGCATAGTGGCTCCTGATAGGGACTCTAGGAGCCCTTAAACATGCTGGGCAGCTGGGAAATAATCCCAAATGCCTCCTTCTGAAGACAGACTCTCTTCCCAAGGCACATGAACAAAAGAACCCCTTTCATTCATTCTCTCTCCTTCTCCCTTCCATCTCCTCTTCTTCTTCTGTTCTTTTTTCTCTTTGCTCTTTTCTTGTGTTTAAACTAATGTTCATTGATTATCACCAAGTAAAAATTCCTGGGTCAAGCCTCTAATAATAATGTACTATGCTTGACATAATTCCTTTGGATTTTGGTTTGTATTTTCTTGTGGCTAATAAACATGAAAGATACCTGGGAGAGGACCAAGCGTAACAGGGAACCTTTGCATGAGTCTTCACACCATCTCAGAAACCTCTGGGAGAAGCTTTTCTGGGATATTTGTTAGCAGCCATTGAGGACAATAATATTCATAGGCAATTATTTTTTTATTTTTAAGTAATTTTTTTACCAGTACATGTTTACAGTACATAACATTTACATTCTTTGGGGGGAATTGATACATGGACATGACACAGTTGAGTTGCACAATTCAAACTGTACTAGTTTAAATTCCCACAAAGAATGTTTAAAGATTTTTTTCGCTACAGATTTTTTTATTGAATCCTCATTATTTTAAGTTGCACTTAAAATTATTTTAAAATTTATTATTTTAAAATTTATTTTAAATTTTATTTTATTATTTTAAAATTTCTTGATGATGGTAATTTTTTCTGGGATAAGGTGAAACCTCAGAATTATTTTAATTTGCATTTCTTTAATGGCCAATAATGAACATTTCCTCATGTATTTATTGGTGATTTGGACTTCTGGGAAGTGGCTATTCACTTGCTCATTTTTTTTACTGGACCTTTTATTTTGGGAGTCTAATTTGTTGAAGTTCTTCATATATTCTAAATACCAGTCCTCTGTTTAAGAGATGGCAAAAATTTTTTACTATTTTATACCTTGTCTGTTCACTCTGTTGGCTATTTTTTTCACTGTACAAAGTCCTTTTAATTTGATATGATCCCACTGGTGACCAGGCTTCTTTTAGAAACTCCTTCACTATGCCTATGACTTCAAGGGTTTTACCTATTTTGTCTCTTGCAGGTTAAATGTATCTTCTTTAACATTGGGCTATTTGATCCATCTTAATTTTAGATTAGTATATGGCGAGAAATAAGGGTCTACATTCAGTGTACTGCACATGGATAGCCAGTTTTCCCATCCTCATATATTAAAAAATGACCTGTCTTCCAGTGTACATTTTTGGCCCCTTTGTCAAAGATTAAAAGTTGAAGGTTGGCCTGTAGCCTCTACTCTGTTCCACCGATCCACATGTCTGTTCTTGTACCAGTACCATGGTATGTTTATCCCTGTAGCTTTCTAACATAACTTTAAGTCCAGAATGCTGATGGTTCCCCCTTTGCTGTTGTTACGCATTATGGCTTTTCATTCTGGATCTCTTCTAGTTCCATATGAATTTTATGATTGTTTTTTTCTGTTCAATGAAGAATGCTGTTGGCATTTTGACTGGGATTGTATCAAATCTGTATATGAATTCTGGAAGTATGGCCATTTTGATTATATTTGTTCTGCTTATCCAGGAACAGAGGATATCTTTCCATCTTCTAATGGCCTCTTCCATTTCCTTTTGCAGAACACTACAGTTTTCATTGTAGAGGTTTTCATTTCCTTATTTATGCTAATTATTAAAAATTACTAATTTTTCTTGGTAGTGTTGTGAAATGTATTTTTTTCCTAATTTCTTTCTCAGTGGATTCATTATTGGCATACAGGAATGTTACTTTTTTGTGTGTTAATTTTCGATTCTGCTACATTGCTGAATTTGGTTATTCTAGGAGTCTTTTGTTGGAAATGCTTTACTTTCCTATGGAGAGGATCATGTTGTCTGCAAATAACGATAATTTGAATTCTTTCTTTCCTTTTTTTTTTTCCGGGACCAGGAATCAAACTCACAACCTTACACTTGCTGGGCAGGTGCTGTGCTGCTGAGCTAAATGCCCAGCCCCAAATTCTTTCTTTCCTATACATGCCCCTTTTATTTCTTTTTCTTACTTAATTGTTCATATCAATGTTTTGAGTAGCCAGCTGAACAGGAGTGGTGACAGTGGACATCCTTGTTCCTGATTTTAAAGGCAAAGCTTTCAGAGTCTTTCAGTTTAATATGATGTGGCTGCAGGTTTGTCATAAATAGCTTTTATCTCTAACTATTTCTTCAATGTTTTTATTATGAAGGGATAGTGGCTTGTGTCAAAGGCTTTTTCTGAGTCTATTGAGATGATCACATGATTTTTATTCTTACTTTTCTTTATGTGACCTAATTATTGCTTTGTGCATGTTGAACCATCCTTGCATCCCTGGGATAAAACCTACTTGCTCATGATATATACTCATTTTGATAATTTGTTGCATTCTGTTTGCCAATGTCTTGAGGACTTCTGCATTTATTAAAGACATTGGTGTAGAGTTCTGTTTTGTTTGAATCTTTGTCTAGCTTGGGAATCAGGGAATGCTGGTTTCTAGGAATGACTCTGGGAGAACTCTTTCTCTTTTAATTTCATTAAAAAGCTTGAGGAGCTGGGCATTGTGGTGCACGCCTGTAATCGCAGCACTTGGGACGCTGAGGCAGGAGGACTGCTGTGAGTTCGAGGCCAGCCTGGGCTACAGAGTGAGTTGAATGTAAATTCTTATCTCTTACCATGTACTAAAGTAAAATCAAAATGCATCAAAGACCTCGATATTAAAACAGAACCAATCTGCTGGAAGATAAAATACATAAAACTCGAGAAAATACATGAACGGGTCAGGATTTTATGAACAAAACTCCAATTACACAAACAATGACACCAAGGACCAAGAGATGGGATTAAAAAAGCTTCTGCATAGCAAAGGAAACAAACAATAGAGCAAAGAGGCAAAATACAGGATGGGAAAAAATTTGTCAGCTACTCCTCAGAGAGTTAATATGTACAATATATAAAAAATTCAAAAAAATATATGGACTTTCTCAAATATAACATCCAATCCGAAAGGGCAACTGAAATGAATAAACATTTTTAGTAGAAATGTACAAGTGGCTAATAGATGTCTGATGCAAAATGTTCAACATCTTTGGCCATGAGAACACACATTAAAGCAACACTGAAATCTTACTCTAAAAAGAATGACTGTCATCAAGAACTCAAATTACAACAAATGCTAGTGTCGCTGCAGGGGGAAAAGGAACCCTTTTACATCATTGATAGGAAGGGGCTGGGGATTTAGCTCAGCGGCACAGCACCTGCCTGGCAAGTGCAAGGTCGTGAGTTTGGTTCCCGGTACCAGAAAAAAAACAAAAACAACAACAACAACAACAAAAAAACATACATCATTGATAGGAATGTAAATTAGTATTCCACTATGGAAAGCATTATGGAGATCCTTAAAAAAATAAAATTAGAAATTCTATTTGACTCAGCAATTTCCCATAGGTGTATTTCTGAAAGAGGTAAAGACCTCATATTACAGTGACACATGCACACCTATGTTCAAAGCAGCACAATTTACAATGGCTAAATGTTGGAAGCTACCTACATGTTCATCACCAGATAAATGGATAAAGAAAAGTTATATATATACACACTGAAACACTGTACTACTCAGCCATTAAGAATGATAAATCTGAATTATTTGTAGAAAAATGGAAGCACCTTGAGACCATAAAGCCAAGTGAAATTAATCATACACGCAAGCTTAAATATTGTATGGTTTCTCATATATAAGAAACCCAAAGTATAAATAATTTAAAGAATAAAGTGCAAAATGGTCGATCAATCATCTGCAAATTAGGATTTACAGATAAAAGGATGAGAGAGGAAAAAGAGGGGAAAGAGAAGTAAAATGAAATGAGATGTTGGTGTGTGTGTTACAAGGTTCCTGTTGTACTCTCCTTCTGTTTACCTCCTGAAACACTTTTTCTAGTGTGACAGATGCATACCATGCACACACCATGTAGTCAGGAAAATCAACAAGTATGCAAAGCCCTGGAAGCCTTTCACCTTCTGTTCACAAGAGCTTTATCTCTGTGCTGAAATAAAATGCTTTTACATCAGAAACCCATCTCAGCACCTAGCAACATATACAGACAGAGGACTCTAATCCGAGCAGACAAACACCAAGCTCAGGAAGAACCATAGACTTTAAAAGCACAAGGACACAGCTAAAAATGCCTTTACCTCAGCAATTATGTGTGTAATTTCTGAGTAACTGTGGCATCTTCTCACACAAGATCGAGCCAAGAAGTCTTCCACCAGCCGTGTTCCAATGCCGTATCCCCTGTGGATAAGGAAACAGTGGTTTACATACGCGGATCACAAACTAAACCACAACAAGTGGGCTGGGTCAATGGCCTTTGGCATCTTTGTCCCACCAAGCCCTGATGGAGAAAGCAACACATCCAGAAACCAGTGCCCCACAAGCACGGGGCTGACTGGAGTCCAGTGGAGACTGGCCCCAAGCTGAGAGCATCAAGTAAGCTTTAAGAAGGCAGGTGCCTATAGCCTAATATTTCTCAACATTAGCTACTGATAGAAACAGAAGGAATCTAACCCTTCTGCTAGGAGCAAGCGTGGCACCTGTGTGCTCATCTTCCCCTAGCATAATCACCATGCTAGGAGGGCAAGCATTTCCACGTGGGTTCTACAAGTCAGGGAAGAAGTGAGCAGAAATCCGTTTTGTTGCCAACAAAGATATTAGCAGATAGGTCTCTAATATTCACAGTGTGTGTGTTGGCAGCAACCAAAGCCAGAAATCCCATTTTTCATTCCCAAGAGAAATGACAGGATTGGGGGAAAGCATTTATTGTAGCTGTTAATTCCACCCCAAGCAAGTAGCTCTAGCAGTACCTGAAATGCTATTTTGAAAGCCTTATACGGAGATGTGCAAACACAGCTAAGAATGTGGTCATGATGACTAAGCAGCCTCCTCGAATAAGACACTTTGGAAATGAATTTCTGGGACAGACTCAAAGAAATGTCAGGGACCCTGTCTCATAAAACTTGCAATCCAGCTGAGGCACTACAATGTTAACAGGGGGTCTAAAAATGGGCAGGATATATAGTGGTGACTTGGACACTGAAGGGAGGTGGATTTGATGGGAGAGTGCTTATTAATTCACTAAATCCATGGCAATATTTGTTTATATTTCTGAGTGGATCGAAATAATCATTTTAGCTCACTTAACTTTCAAGAAAAATGGTTTATAATTCTAGCCAGGAATCTCATGCTGAAAGACTTTAAAGAAAGAAATACTTACTTGAAAAGAAACATTGAGCCGGGATTTTAAAATGTGTACAGGACTAGGGATGTAGTAGGAAAGCACACACCCAGCAAGCACCAGATTCTGAGTTCCATCTCCAATACCAAACACACAAAAGTTTACAATTTGTTAGACAACAAACATAGTTGTTTAACTACATTAAGCATTGGCATAGGACACTGGGACTAGTGAGGGGAAACCAGAAAGTTGTGAGCAGTGCATATATCGTATATATCTTGCTTTGGTTAAAGAATATGTTTCTACACAGTAGATAATTAAATTAAATTAAAACTGTAGGAGGTCTCAGCAGCTATACGACAAGTTGTTTTTTAAGCAAAGACCTTCCTGAAACCTCTCAAAATGTAATCTTTGTTAAGTATTTAATCCTTATTTGTTAAAAACTGCATTAAATTAGGTCAACAAATGTATTTTTGTCAACTAAATGACCATACAGGTATTACACAAAGCAATGCAAATTTACTAGAAGTTAAATGAAATAACTTTTCTTAAGGTAGATATTGAAGTGCACCCTAAGCATTATCATCTACTGCAAGTGCAGACTGTTGAGCTGAGAAGCAATGGAAAAAGGCAGTGAGTGAGTAGTTGGGCAGTATGTTCCTTTGTGAATGCTCTTGACTAATCAAGAAAACAAAAACTACAATAAAGTAAAATAAAAAAATAAAAGAAAGGTATGTACCAAAACTAACGAATTTTTTAAAAGAAAAATGTGAATAAACATGTAAGAGAGGAAAATAAGTTTAAAAAGATCTTTCAGGTTTTCTTTGTTGTTGTTTCCTGTATTTCAGCAGCAAATACAATGAACGTTTTTGAAAAAGTGCTAAAATGCTAGGCTAAATTTTCTCTTCAGTCTCCTGAGTAAATCTAACCACTGCATATTTCCCAGCCATTGCTGTTACAGGCCTTTTCAGAGTCCCTCATGAGGAGGGTGAAAAATGTTGACAGATATTTTAGGGTTGAGCAATGATCTCATGATCATATAATAATTTTGAGGAAAATTAAAAGACTGAGTTTAGCAGGAAGCATGCCCACTGAAAGGACAAGAAAAATGAGTTTTGTTTAAAAAGGAATAAATGGATTTTTAAATTTAATATATTTAAAGGTAAAAATTATTCAAGCAATAAAAACACAATGTAGGAAAGAGAAAATCTTCCTTCAACCTATACTTTACCATCACCTTGTCTTCTTCGTGTGTAACCACCATTACTTTTTGGATATTCTTTTCATAGATAATATACTGACATAAACAAATATTTGTTGGAAAAGAATTATGTTAGCAAAACAAATTACTGAAAAGCATCAAATTTGATGTTCTCTCATATTAAAAGAATAATCTCAGTTTCACCATATCTTTTGCTTAGCAGTAAGCAAAAATGATTACTAATTTAAATAAGAAAACATTCTACATTGATGTTCATGGAAAACAGTTCCTTCCTATCACTTTATGCTATTAATTTGAATGTCAGGTGTAAGAAATGATGTCCAGCTTTTGATGTGGTCCTGAATTGGCAGAAGGGCTGGTGAAGTGCAGCAAGTCACTAGAGCGGGACACGCAGCGGTGTTACAAAGTAGTGGACACTCCCCAAGAAGGAGAGGCTGCTACTCACATTTTATCTAAGTATTTGTTCACGTCTTCATCTTTTTCGTAATCTTTACACAGTTGGGCAACCAGAGCTCCATAGGTGAGGACCAAGAGGTCTCTGTTCTGGAGAAAAAAGGGATAGTTTTATGTGATAAGCAAATTTATGACAATATACTACTGTAGTTTTTTAATAAAATCTTCCAGTTGAAATCAGTCTCAGAGATCATCTGTTCATTTGTTTTCATCCTCCCATTTTCGCAACAATTTTCACTTTGAGAACAAATTTGACTTATATTTGGATACATTGCTGGGACTGAGGGAAAACTTGTGAAATAAATTTCCTCAGGTGAGAACATCTTCTATGCATTTGTCTGCATCATATAATTTGCAATACATTTTCATGGAGGAAGGTTTTAAAAAAATTGCTAATTTGTAATAGAAAATTCTATTATTCTGGGATGGTCCTGACTTTGGGATTTTCAGCTGGAAGGGAATGGTTGGGTGAGACTCCTGTATCTGTACCATACCTCAGGACCCTACATGTGCCAAGGAGACACTCAGAGTGAACCCCACTGCTGCCGTAGCAAGTTCATAGGATTTTTTCCCTTTTTACTTAAAAGAAGAATACGTGTTTTTTTATAGATATCCAAAATATGTTCAATTTTAGGGTGATTTACAAATTACAACTAATAACGAGTCAATTTAAATTTGGTTTACTATAGATATGTTAGAAATATGTGAAATAGAATAAAGTTCAATAAATCCATTTGTAAAAGACTTTATTTTGCTTCTGAGAGTGAGAACTAAGAAAGGGATGGAGGTCTTGCAGACAATTCATCCCGATGCTGCTAGTCCTGTAGAGGGAGAAAGGAAGCCTCAGGCACCCTGGGACACTTGCCCAAGTGGCCAGCAATTTGCCGCAGCCAGCGTGGCCTCCCACGCTGCGGCCTCCTCTGAGCCGCAGATGTCACTGCAGTGTGTCCAGAAGGACACAGGAGTAGAGGTGGTAGGAGAGGGAGATAGAAGAAAGATAAGTACACAAAATCATCCGGCTCTGCACGTAGGCTTGTATTTCAGGAGAGGTCAAACACAGATTCCAAGTTAGAAGAAGTATCTTTACCCACAGACCCAGGTACTTATATAAACAAATCAGTACAATGAAATAAGGCCTGCTAACATGCAGATTTAAAAAAAAAAGCATAGGCAGCAATGACTTAAAAATAAAATTATTTATTTAACAAAGTGTCCTCTATAAAGTATTACAATTTTGATTTAAATACTTTCAAAGTTAGCTCAACACCACTAGTGCCTTCTCTTGTACAAGGGCTTATATGGTGAAAAACACATCTCTTTAGTCAGGTAGAATATATATTAAATAAATTTTCAGTAAACAGAAACAAAATATTATTTGGGCCATATGGGCATATTTTAGGTGAAAAAATATGAATCAAATTGTTACAAATATTTATAGAATATAAACCAAACATTAATTGATATTACAGTAACATTCAATTAAGATATAGGACAATAATGTGTATGATGATATTTTTACTAGGAAATAGATGTGAGAAGTCACATGAACAAAATTATTTTGAAACATAATACTGAGAGGTTCACCATGTACTCAGTTTTAATACTGTTCTTACTTAAAAGTTCCAGGAACCTACTTATTAATCATAAATAATTATAAATAAAATTAAACATGATTAAATAAATGAAATATTTACCTAACATGTAAGAAGCCACAATAGAAAACAAAGAACTGGTATGTACTAACACTACAGCATAAAAATAAGCAAAGGTGCAGGAGGGAGAGATAGTGAAGGAAAGAGAAGATGAATGATAATGTGTTTCTTACTACTGACAGAATAACAAAAGCATTTGAAAAAGAGATACAAGGAGAAAAAATTATATCTTGCCTACCTACCATGGCCTGGGTGTTGTACCCATTTATAAGTAAGACCAGACTAAAATAATGGCATTACTACCCCTCGATGTACCAGCATATTTTGAAGCATATTTTATATATAATTGAGTTTCAAAACCTATAAAACCCCATGTGCTTCATTCTGCTTCATGACCAAGAACTGTATCTTGAACTATAGGTGCAGTTATGTCTCAGACCTATACCAAGGACCCCAATAAAAGTCGACACAACTACTTCTCAATGATTTTTAAATAGCTTTATATATAAAAATAGAACACTGGTAATTGTTTCCAGATGATAAAATATTATAATCTGATATACATATACCTATATTTCAGTACACTGTGAGCTATGGATACACATTATTATGATTTTTAGCATGGGGATCCCAAAGCAAACTTCACAAGGATCTCAGAATGCCAGGGGTCCACCTGCAGGTGTTTCCAGTTTGGATGTGCTGGGGCATCATATAACACTAAGCACCCAAGGCCGAAATGTCTTAATTACATCAAATCACTCCCTTGAAATAATACAGGTTTAAACTTCAATGTGAATTTTCACATCTGTGACATCAGAATGGCTAACACTACATGTAAAGATTAAGGATGATTCATTTAAATTGAATCTACAAAAATTAAATTTTAACAATAATTCTGAATTTGGAATATATAGAAAGAAAAACAGCCCAGACCAAATAAAAAGTTTTTTTTAAAACTAAGAAATATCCTTTTAAAGGTAATCTTTAGATACTTACTTTCTCTGGTGCTCTTATTCTTCTTGAATTTTACACATAATTTACTGGTCTGTCTCTCTCTGTGTATGTACATATTTCATTTCCTATTTCATGCAGTATGAAATACAAAGAATCACTTAATCTTTTCATTTTTTCTATCAGAGATGAATAAAACATTTAATATTTTCAAACAGTTAACAGCAAAGAATACCCTAAAATCTGCACTAACAACAGATTTTTTTATGGTGTTTGAGTGGTAATTGTAACTATTCCCAGTAGTGTTATTTATGGTTCACTCCACTAAACCCTCTATTGCTCCACTGAGAATTCTACCTGGTAGCATCACTTTTCAAAATAAATTAAAACACAGCTCAAGAAGACATTTTCTGTGAATCAGAAGAACCCTGGTTTAGAAAAGATCTTACTATTTTATGGTATTCTGGTCTTCTGGGCACGGGGCGAGACATGGTGTGGAGATGGAGAATGTTGTCCTCAATTCCTTTTTTCTGCTCAATGCCTCAGAAGTGCATGAGCCTTGACTCTTTCTGAGATGTCTCCTTGCTTTGAGACAGGAACCCTACTTCTGCACACCACTGCTTTTGCTTTTTGCTGAAATGAAGAGGGAAAAAAACACAAGCAACAGGACTGCCTTGTACTGCTCTAATGGTCACCGATCAAATAACTGCTTCATTTATAATAAATTGTGATCTAGACCCATAAAAATCTAATAGTGTGAAGTCAGACGAGAAGCACAAAACACTAAAAGTTCTTTAGCCTCAGGGAGTTCAAGAGTGGTGTTTTGTTCTCAAGCCAATACATTGTTTTAAAATCACAAACCTACACAATCCAAGATAGATCTGAATGTTAGCATTATTCAGTCTTGTATTGATTGTCCTATGAATTAGAGAGAAAGAATCAGCAATCTCTAGGCACTAAATCCTGGATTCAAACCTGATTGACAACTCAAGTGGGACCACACTGTTCTTAGCATATGGATTCCCATCCTTTGTGACTGCAATATTTAAGCAGGCCTGCTTTCCCTTCTTTTGCTATCACTCCTCAGCAGTTTTAAGGAGTGATGGGATGGGTGACAATTTCTTACAGAACTCTCACTCACAATGGGTTCATTTCAGAAATAAAAGCATAAAACTCAGTTTAAGACAGTAGTTTCCGACCAGGTTGGTGATGCACACCTACACTCCCAGCACCTGGAAGGCTGGGGCAGGAAAATCACTCTGAGTTTGTGGCCAGCCTGGGATACAGTGTGAGACTGAACTACTAGCCTGAACTGTATTGTGATATCCTGTCTCAAAAAGACAAAAACAAAACCAAAAAACAAGTTTCCCATTTCTTCCAGTTTGTGACAATCAGCCAAATTTGCTCTGCCACATCTTGCTATACAGATACACACCAAGAAGTACTTTGAAGAAAGGTGTGGCATAGCTGAAAGAGCCTAGAAGATTGAGAAGGCTCAGGCTTAGTTGAGGCTCTGTCAATCACTGGCTGTGGGACTTGGGACTGGTCACTTTACTACTCCATGGCTCAGTTCATACATGTGAAAAATGATCAAAAATATAATAATGACCTCAGAGAATAACTGTTAGTATAGAAGAGGGAATATGAGCTGTAAAACACATTATAAGCTACTGCATAGAGGCTAACTAATATGGGCCAGTCTGTTATTGACGGTATTGAATGGAACTGTACAATGATGAAGGTATTCCCACAGTGCCCATGTTCTGTGACACCATTATTGCAGGGAAACCAGTTCTGTTGACTTTTTAGTAGCAGATTAGTAACAACTTATATTTACATAAAATTGATAGATAACATAGTTTTCTTCTTATTTTAACTCAACCACAACCTGTGAAGTAGCAAGTACTATATTCGCTGACATCCTAAACCATAGAAATTTGAAAGAAAGAAGACTGAGAAACTTGTTCAAGAATATCTGGATAGTACACAACAAAGAATGATTTGACTACGTGGATTCCAATACCAACAATTTTTATGATGCGTACATTCAAATAATGTTGGAGCAAAATGTCATATTACATTTTTATTATTACTAGGTTTACAGTACATGATGTTTACATTGCTTGTGGTAAGTTGGAGCATGCCCTCAACACTTACTCTTTTTACTTCCCTTTCTTCTTCCTTCTCCCCTACATCTCTTAATCTCAGGCTTACTGAAAAGATCTCACTACCTCTTCTTACCTGTATTTTACTTTGCTTTCCATTTAAAGCAGTTTCTCATACAGGAGAAATCATATGTCTGATATTTAAACTTGTGTGTCTGATTTATTTCATTTACCATTATGGCCTCAAGGAGCATCTAGACCTTGTGATCCATCCTCGCACTCGTTTCCAAGTGCTTTTCCTGCGCAGGGTCCTGCAGCTGCAGCCTGGAGACCTGGGAAAATAGCACAGCGTGTTCTCCTCTGACTGTCTCCAGCCAAGTGACTGGGAAGGCAGCTGCCATTAGACTGTGCTGTCCGGTGACTCTATGGTTCCAAGTTCTGTTTGGACCTGTTGCCAAGGAAGTGAGGTCATATGCTGGGCCCACAGACTGAGCTCCCCCTCTGATAAGAACACCCTATGGCCCCATTCTCTCATAGAACAATCTGTGTGCTCCTGAGAAACAGAAATGAAAACGCAGACAGCTGTTTGTGATGTTAGGAGTCTGATGTATTTGAAGTTTTAATGCAACAAATGTGTAGATGTCTAAGATGCAGCAAGTACAGGGGGGAGTGTGCTTTTCCTTCTAAAGGGCCCATTCCCTCTCAAGACACAGTGCTCAGGGTCATCACTTAGAGATCTGTTGGATTTTAGGACAATTTTCTTTCCTGGGTTGCCTTCAGTTTCATTTCAATTCTGATAGTGACTATGGAGATGTTCCACAAACATCTATAATCATTTTCCTTAATGGATAAAATTGTTTCAAATTATAACCCCTACATGGCCAGGAGGGGAGGATTCATAGCAGGTTTTACCTTTCAGATGCACATGGATGACTATTCATGCTTAGATTCTGAACTCAATCACTGACTGCAGTATGCAGTACAGCGACATAGTATGAGGGGACAGCAGGTGGTGACTGTAAGGTGCAGTCTTTGTCAGGCCGTGGAGATCATCACCCCAGTGCAGTTGCAGAACACATTCACACATCGCTTCGGGACTTTGCTTGTGGCCACTGATATCCCCTCCTGTCCTCCTATCCCAAGCAGACCATGTGTTTTGTGTCTTTGGTGGAGAGTTCGCCTTTTCTAGTGAGGATGGGGCTGTCAATATTCCGTATAAATGTTTTGGTAGGTCTTCTTCAAGCAGCAAAACCACGCTGGGTTTCACACGTGCTGATTTTTGTCAGCAGTGCAGTTGTCACATGCCATTGTGTGGGTGGAGCAGGACTTGTTCCCACATCCATTTGCTCATGGCCATTTGTGCTGCTTCCAGTGCTGACCTTAAAAAGGAAGGTGCTATGACCATTCTTACACAGGTGTTTGTATGGTACAGACTTGGATTTCTTTGGGAAAGTACTTAGATGTGAAACTGCTGGTGTACATTTAACTTAGACCTTACTAAAGATTATTTTGAAGCAGTTATTTTAAGTAGATCATGAATGTTTGATTTTTTCAATCTCTTTGCTGTTTCTTTCTGGTGTGGACTGTGGAACCATGTCCTTGAATTTTCAGTGTTTTCTGGCTTCATTTTATATAATTAATCTGAGAACAAGCTATTTATATGACACAAATTCAATATTTTCTGTCATGGAAAAAGTTTAAAAAGGAAAATATAAAAATCACATATAATTTCAACATCCCAAAGATTCTGCAGTTTCTCTTGCACATGTGCCTTAGTCAATACACTAGCATAAGGATTATGGTTATGTGGACGTTGGTCTACTGTTAGGTATTTGAATTGGTTGAAACTTTTATTTTTTTACCTTTTAAATGAAATAGTTACAAATATGCTACTAAATATATCTTCTCAGAATCTGGGTATCTTAATGCGAAAAAAGTTTTATCATTTTTTTCTTAAATTTTTATTTTAGTATTAGAATTTGAACCAGAGTTCTCATTGAGCAATATTCCTACATCACTTTAAATTTTGTTTCTCGTGTTTTATTTTGAGTAATTCACTAATTAGGCCAGGCTGGGCTTAAATTTGTAATCCTCCTTCTTCAGCCTTCCAGAGGGGTGGGATTGCAGGTGTACAATATCCTTATTTGGTAATTGACAGGAAGTGCATGTATTAATAGGGTAGTATGTGCTCTTCTGATGTCTGGCTCAATTGTAGAAAGTCAATCTAGCTAATGTAACCACTGCCTTACAAACCTACCATTTCTTTTACAGTGAATAGGATTGAAAATCTCATTGTTTAGCAATTTTGAGATTCACTGCTTCCCCACTGTGGTCACCATGTATGTAGCTCAGTAAATCACTGGCAGTTTATTGTCTGTTGTGACTAAGAGTTCGTATCTCTTTGAGAGCATCCTCCTTTCCCCTATCCCTCCTGGGATTTGATCACTTTGTAAGTCACACTGCCCAATAAGTTTTGAAGGGTTGACAAACTTGGAGGCTGTCACTCTTCAGAAAAATGAGACCAAGATTCACACAGAGCTCTATTTGCCACATACTCTCCCTGGATTTTCTTTTTTAATTTCTGGTGATTGAATCCAGAACCTTTGATCTTAGGTAAAATGTAATATATTTTAAAATTTTTCCTTTATTCTGAGACATGTTCTCGATAAGTAGTTGGTTTGTTCAGTTTATCCTTGAATTTGTGGTCCTCCTGCCTCAGCCTCCCAGAAAATTGTGGTTACATGCAGTACTGTCACAATTAGTTTCTTCATAGTTCTGTTAACAGCTCATGAAGTGAGCAAGGCATGGAGGTGAATGCCTGTAACCCCTGCACTAAGGAGGGGAAGGCAGCAGGTTGACTGGGAATTCCAGCCCAGGCCAGAACATACACTGAGGTCAAGTCCAGCCAGATGTAAAGGAAGACTCTGTCAAAAAAAAGGAGGGGTCTAAACAAAAGAGACCTCTCAGTGAAAGTAGGCCTGGTTTGTATCTGGGCTATCAGATTTAATCTGTGTGTTTGCTGTTGTTGCAGTACGAGACTGCTTTGATTGCTGTCACCTCATAATATAGTTTGAAATGAGGTATAGCAATGCATCTACTTTGGATCTGGTTTCTGTAGATATGCGAATGCTCTTTGTAGTGTTCTATAGTTCCTATGAATACTTAGATTGCTTTTCTATTTATAGGAAAATGTCACAGATGTTTGTCTGGAACGGCAATGGTTCTGGTGTTTACTTTGCACAGCACAGATACCATAACAGTATTAATTCTCCCAGTCTAAGAGGATAACATTTCTTTCTTTCTCCTGTGGCTTTCACTCGAGTATTCATCAATGTTCCATAATTTTCAGGCAACAGATGAGTTTGGTTAAACTTTGCCTGTGCATTCACTGTTGGTGGTGCCATGACATATTGAATTATGTTTTTTATTGTGGTGATAAAGTGTATAGAAATGGAATTAATTTTTCCGTGCAGATTTTGTATCTTTCAACTTCAGTGAATTTGTTCATTACTTCTAACACTTTTATGTATCCTAGGTTTTCTGTATACCGGATAGATCCTCTGAAAATAGATGTCATTACTTTCTGTCTAATGTAGATATCTTGGATTTCTTTCTCCTGGTAATTCCTATGGCCAGGACCCCAAGTATGGTGTTGAATAGAAGATGCCAGGTGGGCATCCTCACCTCATTCCTGACATTAGAGGAGAAACCTTCACTGTCCATCCACTGAGCACACTGTCAGGTGGTGTAGTACCTTTACTGCATTGAGGTCTATTCCTTGTACACATAGTGAATAAAATAGTTTTTATCATGAAACAATGTTATATTTTTTCAAATGCTTTTTTCCAAATGCATTGAAATGTTATGATTTTTGTACTTTATTCTGAGAATGTGGTCTTTCACAATGCATGATTTGTGCATGTTGAACCATTCCTGCACAGCTGAGGTTATTCCAATAATGATTTTGCTGTTGCAGCCTTTGAATGTGCTAGTGCATTTAGCTTACCAGTAGATTATTGAAAATTTTTCTGTCAATGTTCACGAGGAATATTTTCTTGTATGGTGTTTTCATTTTGTTTTGTTTACAAGACATCTGTGTTTATCTGTGTTATCAGGGTGATACTGTAATCTAAAATGTGTTTGGAAGTGGTTCTTTCTCTTCCGTTTTTCTGAAAGAATTGAAAAATCATCAGCATTTATTGTGTATTGAATACTTGCTAAAATTCACTGGGGCATCTTATCTTATCCTGGACTTTGTTTTTGCTCTTGCAATTTTGATTACTGATAAATCATCTGTATTCATTATTGGTCTGCTCATCTGTTCCTTCCTTATTCACTGTGGATCAGTAACACCAAAGACACCTCCTACTTAGTAGGACTCACATCCCACTTTCTCTCAACCTGAAATATCCACTTTAGGAAATAGCCATCTACTTCTTTCTGTACCCTGAAATTATCCTAGTCTGAGAATTTCTACAGTGTCATTCTCCCTGTAGCAGTTGATACACTGTGTGAATTTGGGAAGTTTAGAAACTTAACTAACTCAGCACTTCTATATCCTGGGGTGTACAGGACATGCCCTTACCACTCTAGGACGTTGTTCATTGTGTCACCTTGAGTTTGTAAGTTTAAGTTATTCAGCAGGGAGCGAGAGTCCTCACTTTGTGAACATCCTGAGACTGTGCAAGAGGGCGGCACAGAGATGGTATGAGTGCTACACACACATACCCAGGGGGAGGTAGTCTGTATACCATAAGGGAGGAAACCCCCGCTCCTTTTGCTCTTGTTGCTTCTGCTGTCTTCTGCCGCCTTGATTTGTTACCTCTCATCATGCCACCCTGCCTTGGAACCAGCTGATTATGGACTGAAACCTCCATAAACTGTGAGCTAAATAAACCTTTCTTTCCTTAATTTTAGGTGTCAGGTATTTTGTTTCAGAAATAAAGAGAAAAGTAACCAAGACACTACAACATATACTCTTTGTGAGGAGCTGCTTTCAGGTACCTGCTCCTAAATGTACATGTCAGGTTGGTGGTCACTCTTGGAGGAACCTGTGGCTGGTTTAGGCCTGGTCTCTCATTCGAGGACTCGTGCCCTGACCTTCCAGCAGTGCCCATGAGCCCTGAGCTACTCTGTAAAGTCCTATCTTGATCATACAGCTGAGATGGGTCCCTCTGTGGCAGCTGAGAACTGAACCTGGATGGACTCCACTGAAGCACAGTGGCTTTGTAACAGGTTGACCATTCAGAGAGGATCCAAGAGAGAGAGAGAGAGAGAAAGAAGGGGCTCAGGCATGGCAGAAGACCTGCTGGCAGCAGGGTGGCCAGACCAGCTTCCTCATCTGCCAAAATGCAGGGCAGGCTGCTGCACTCAGAAGCTGAGCTGTGGAACAGCAGGCCTGGGCAGGGCCTTCCCTGTCTCCTGGTTCCCTCCCAGGTACCATGGTGTCCCCCACCGCTCGCTGTTCCACCTCCTTCCCACGTCAGGTCTCCACAGAGGATCCATGCAGCCCCTGCCTTCCCCTGACAAGGCTGCAACTCTATGTGGAGCCCTCAGGTGTGAACACAGTGGCCAAGATCTTCAACCTGTGCACATTTACCTGGAAATTTCACATCCAGGGATTTTTCTAAAACAATGAGATTTAGAGACATGCACATTTCCTTTACCCCATATGGATGTGAATTGTTAGAACCACTGAATGAGTGAATTATACATTTACGGCTGCTGAAAGTCCTCATGGTTCAACTAGGCCAAGTCCCCAGTTCTATGTGGGATATCAGAAGAACTTATGGGTCAGCACAATCCCCACCCAGCACTGGAGAAACCCAGGCCTGCACATGGAGGTGAGGGCAGGAAGGAGGAGCACCTCAGGGAGGTCACTCTTCTGGGGAGGATGACTGTCTTTTTTCTGTTCTTTATTCATCATGAATTCCATTTACAGTGGTACGTTTGTTCACAAACATTTCTTTCCATGATCCTGGTCACAAACCAAATTGGTCATGAATGGAATCAAATTCAATGGTTAGGTTCAATGTTAAATTTATGGGGAAATTTGACTCGGTTCATCAGTTGGAAGGTGGAAGGAATTATGTTTGTAAACTAAAGTACCACTGTATTTTCATGATAAATATTTCTATACATTGCTGTAGCAAGTATTTCTTCTCTTACTATCATTTCACTAATAATAAAAAGTGGATATTTTATTGAATAGGTAAATGAAAAGGGAAGATTTAACATTGATCTCTATATAATTAAAAATATTCACAAATAAACATCTTCGTACATCACTGAATGGGTACATAAAAGTTTTCCCACATCCACCTCTACAGTTCTCCTTCATTAATTGTTTTTTTGTTTTGTTGTCTTTTTGAGGCAGACTCTCACCATGCAATTCAGGCTGGTCTTGAACCCACTTTGTGGCCCAGGCTGGCCAGGAACTTGCAACAATCCTCCTGCCTCAGCCTCACGAGTGCTGGGATTACAGGCATGTGCCACCACACCCAGCTTCATTAATTGAAGGGCTCATCTCCCAGGCTCTGCCTTTCTCTGACTCTTTGGTTTTGTCTGTCTCACATTCTTGCACAAAGATTGTTGCACATCTGAGTGTGAAGACTGAGATCATGGATGTTTCATTTTAGAAACAGATTGTCCACACAGGCATCCTTTGCACTTCGCCCCTTCCCCTGGGGGCCCAGAGAGCCCCGCCTCATTATCTCCATAGCCTTCCCCAGTTCATGTGGCCCACACTGATTCACCATACCCTGTGGATGTCAGTGATGGTCCCAGTTCCTTCTTACTTCAAGTAGTGCTGTGACAACAGTCTTGAAAAGAAATCTTGACTTGTGAGGCTCTCTATGGGGCTAAATCTCTAGCCTTAGCCCTACAAGATAAAGGGACACACACGTAGAGCTCTGCTGGGAGCACCTACCGGGCTCTGCTCTGCCGCCATGCTCTCGCTGGTGCTGGTCGGCACCACACTTAGAACCTGCCAGTCTGGTG